CAGACATCTCATTTGCAGTAAGCGTGGTGAGCCGCTACATGCATGACCCGAGGAAGGGTCATATGGATGCAGTATACCAGATACTGAGATATTTGAAGTGAGACCCTGGCAAAGGACTAAGATTCAAGAGGAGTGGCCATGTGAACATTGAGGGCTACTGTGACTCAGATTGAGCTAGTTGTGGAGATGATCGGAGGTCTACCTCAGGGTATTGCATATTTGTAGGAGGTAACTTAGTCTCCTGGAAAAGCAAGAAGCAATCTGTGATGGCGAGATCAACAGCTGAAGCAGAGTACAGAGCCATGGCCTTGGGAGTTGCGGAGTTGATGTGGCTGAAGAGCATGCTGGTAGAGCTGAATCTTGACCAAGGGGCCAAGATGAGTTTGTGGTGCGACAACAAGTCAGCTATTAGCATCGCCAATAACCCAGTTCAGCATGACAGAACGAAACACATTGAGATTGATAGATTCTTCATCAAGGAGAAGCTGAACAGTGGGCTACTGAAGTTAGGTCATGTTCCAACTAAGGAGCAGGCTGCAGACTGCTTGACTAAAGGACTTAGCTCAGTAGATCTAGCCAGAGGGTGTGACAAGATGGGCTTAGTAGACATCTTTCGCCCATCTTGAGGAGGAGTGTTGAGAAGCTAATGTAATTGAGGGATATTGGAGGGCTTATATGTAAATGTGTGTAAGGCTATATAAGCCAAAACTATTCTATCAATAGTTGAGATCCTTTTGAGCCCTAACTTTTGAATAAAGGCTATTCTGGAATTAATTCATTCTGATGTATGGCAAGCATCAGTTACATCCTTAGGAGGAGCAAAGTACTTTGTGTCCTTTATTGATAATTACTCCAGGAGATGTTGGGTGTATCCTATCAAGAAAAAGGCGGATGTGTTCTCAGTCTTTAAAGCCTACAAAGCGCGGGTCGAGCTTGAATCTGAGAAAAAGATCAAGTGCTTGAGGTTAGATAATGGAGGAGAATACACAGACGGTGAATTCCTAGCATTCTGCAAGCATAAAGGCATCAAAAGGCAATTCAGCATTGCTTATACTTCTCAACAAAATGAAGTGGCAGAGCGGATGAATAGAACTCTGTTGGAAAGAACAAGAGCTATGTTGGCAACTGCAAATCTGAAAAAAATCGTTTGGACGGAAGCAGTAAAAACCGTCTGTTATGTGGTGAATCGATCTCTATCAACTGTAATACAATTAAAGACATCGATGGAGATGTGGACTGGTAAGCCAGCTGATTATTCCAACATTCATATATTTAGAACTCCAGTGTACGTAATGTACAATGCCCAAGAAATTACAAAGCTGCATTCAAAATCCAAAAAATGCATATTATTGGGATATGCTGATGGAGTAAAGGGGTATCGCCTGTGGGATCCCACTGGCCATAAGGTTATCATCAGCAGAGATGTTATCTTTGTAGAAAATCAACTACAAAGTGGTGAAAAAGAAAGCAGTTCGAGGAAGGACTCAGAGACTGTAGCTGTTCAGGTAGAAGATGATCTGAATTCTTCTTAAGCAACACCGAAGCATGATGTACAAAGAACCAGTCCAGTCCGAGGCTCCAGAAGCTCGAAGGTCAACTCGTGAGAGAAGGCCACCGACTTGGCACTAGGAGTATATTACGGAGAGTAATGCTGCATACTGTCTTCTAACAGAAGATGGAGAGCCAACAACTTTTTATGAAGCTATAAATGACACAGATGCATCTTTGTGGATGGCAGCAATGCAGGAAGAAATTGAAGCTCTCCATATGAACAAGATTTAGGAACTTGTGTCACTGTCACAAGGAAAAAAGACCATTGGAAACAAATGGGTCTACAAGATCAAGCGAAATGACGATGATCAAGTGGAGCGATATCGTGCTAGATTGGTAGTAAAAGGATATGCTCAGAAAGAAGGTATTGATTTTAATAAAATATTTTCTCCTGTAGTTCGACTTACAACAGTCCAAATAGTCCTGACTATGAGCGTTATATTTGACTTACATCTAGAGCAGCTAGATGTGAAAATAACATTTCTTCATGGAGATATTGAAGAAGAAATTTACATGCTCCAATCAGAAGGTTTTAAAGAAAAAAGAAAAAAGAACTTGGTTTGCAGATTGAACAAATCTCTGTACGATCTAAAGCAGACGCCAAGGTGTTGGTACATGAGATTTGATTTATTCATCATGAGCCTTGGATACAACAGACTTAATTCAGACCATTGTGCATATTTTAAGAGGTTTGGTGAAAATAACTTTGTTATTCTATTTTTGTATGTTGACGACATGTTGGTTGCAGGCCCCAACAAAGATCGTATCAATGAATTAAAGGCTCAATTGGCTAGGGAATTTAAAATGAATGATTTAGGATCTGCAAACAAGATTCTAGAGATGCAAATTTACCGAGACAGAATTAATAGGAAGATTTGGCTTTCTCAGAAGAATTACTTGAACAAAATCTTGCGACGTTTTAATATGTAAGATTGTAAGTTAATTTCTATCCTATTTCCTGTTAATTTTAAGTTATCCTCTAGTATGAATCCTAGCAGTGAAGAAGAGAGGATGGAGATGTCTCGAGTGCCATATGCATTAGCGGTAGGAAGTTTAATGTTCGCGATGATTTGTACAAGACTAGACATTACACAAGCAGTAGGAGTGGTTAGTCAATACATGGCGAATCCTGGTAAAGAGCATTGGAATGCTGTAAAGAGGGTTCTAAGATACATTAAGGGAACCTCAAATGTTGCATTATGTTATGGGGGATCTGATTTTATTGTCAGTGGATATATTAATTCTGATTATGCAGGTGATCGTGATAATAGTAAATCCACAACAGGCTATGTGTTTGCACTTGCTGGCGGAGCTGTAAGCTGGGTTTCAAAACTGCAGTCAGTTGTGGCTACTTCAACAATAGAAGCAGAATATGTAGCAGCTATACAAGCTAGTAAAGAGGTGATGTGGTTGAAGATGGTGCTAGAGGAACTCGGCTATGAACAAAAGAAGATTTCTTTATTTTGTGACAGTCAGAGTGCTTTGTATTTGGCAAGAAATCTAGTCTTTCATTCAAAGACCAAACACATTCGAGTTCAGTACCACTTCGTTCGTGAGAAAATGGAAGAAAGAACAGTGGATATGCAGAAAATTCACACCAAAGACAACATAGCAGATTTTTTAACAAAAGCAGTTCATACCGATAAATTTATTTGGTGTCGATCCTCTTATGGTCTGACAGAGACGTAAGCAACATGAATATGACAAGATAGAAAAAAATGGTGTGAAGATATGATTGATACTCAATCAAATCTTCAAGTGGGAGATTGTCAGCAGCAGCCCATGTGAAGCAATTATTTTTTACTTTGGATAAAGGAGCAGGCCCCACTTTATTATTATAATATAAATGTATAGTAAAATATTAATATTTTATTATGCATAGTATTTTTCAAAACACTATAAAAAGGCTCCAAATCCTTAAGAAAAATTCATCCCAGAAACAACTTTTCTTATAGAAGAGTGAGAAAGAAAAAAATAAAGAGAAAGTATCTCCTTGTAAAGAGAGATTGTAACTCCAGAGTTTTCTTCTCATAATGGATTCTTCTATCCTTACCTGTTGACATAGGCAATCAAGTGTCGAACCACGTAAATCTGTGTGTCTTAACTTTTTATCTCTACTTTTTCTCTACTATTGCTGCGATCCTGCTCTATTAGGTCTCGGGTTTGTCCCAACAATCAGAGCATCTCCAAGTGGCTGGAGAAATCCGACCCCTTAGCTAAATTAGCGGATATTTAAGGGGTTTCGGCTCCAACGGATCGGAATTTTCCCCCTTCACCCCCAATTCCCTTATCTTACTCCCTAAATTAAGAGGAAGATTAAAGTCCCTTAACTTTCCCCTTATAATTTTATATTAATATATTTTATTTTAGAGTTAATTAAATTTAGTTAATGTAAAGTTAATTTAAAATAATATAATTAAGTTAATGTATAGTTAATTTAATTTGATTAAAGTTTTTTAAAATATACCTCTTATAATTTTTTATAAATATTTTTTTATAGGTTGTTTTTTCCTAGTATAGGATGTTTTTCTAGTATAGATTTTTTTAATATAGGTTATTTTTAGTTATTAATATTTAATTATTTATTCATTTATAAATAAACCATATATTTAATTAAATCCTAATCTATAAAATTAAAAACTAAACATAATTAATTAAGGGATATGGGACTTTTAAGGGGGAACCATTGGAGGAGAACCAACCCCTCCCTTAAAGTTCCCCCTAAATTAAGGGACATCCAAGGGATCGCTTGGAGATGCTCTCAGTCATCAGATAATTTTTTATGCTACCCCTCATTAGATATTTTTTGTTAATATTTGAAGAGAGCAAGGAATTTCTAGTCAGAACTAGCTTAAATTCAGACAAACACAACTGGAGGCTCGAATAGCAAATTCAACCGATTCACAGCTAATAGTATGGTTTGTTGCGATATCTTCCTTAACAAGCAAATAGTATCAGAACAAGACATTTTCTAACCTTTTGTATTACTATTCGGAATGACAATCTGATTAGAATGTAACAGTAAAATATGTTACATACTTCACTATCTCACCAACCACAAACCAAAGGAAAATGTGAAACCGCAACTTAAACTAATAATATTTAAATTTGAAAATAAGAGAGAAATTTGTTTTTTCTGAAGATTTTCCTTTTATGCATATATGGGATAAGCCAACTACTATTAGCTTCCCCCCTCTGAACTACCTTATGATATTGAAATTGCAATGTAAGAACTCTATCGAGCATGTTCATGTGGTCTTGCCAAGTGCTTCTCTTGATGTAAATATCTGACCAAGTTTTGGTCAGAACTCTGGTATCTAAACGTTAAACAAAGCATGCAGGATTTCGTCTGACATGAAGTTTTCCAACATAAGCTTTCAAGTACACGTGGTTTTACAATCTATCACTATTTCATGCATCAAATTTCTGAAACCCTGGAAGATAAATACCTGATTCATCTGGTCTGAAGTTCGTAACATTCGTTACTAAGTTGTCTAGGCCATAGTTTTCCTCCACAGGTGAAATTGTAGATGGTTCGCAGTATGATGTTTGACCCATGACGCTTTTCTTGAATGGAGAAAGGGTTCGAATGATATCATTTTCTAGTAGTGTGGGGATTTTGACTTCAGAAGCAGAACAAAAGGATCTCCCATTAGAGTCACCATCCTTTCTCTTCTTAGGTACTTGTTGAGCATGAGAAATTCCTCTTTCCTGCAACAAAACAAGTTTCCTTAGGTCCACAGAGCCAAGAGCCATGCAGGTTTGTTTTTTTTTATTTTTTCTTTTTTGGGTGGGTGGGGTGGGTGGGTGGGTGGTTGGGGTGTCTGGTCTCCTTGCTCTCAATGAAACACCAAAACATGGTTACTAATAGAAGTGCAAACACCATCAAATGAAAACTAGTCTCAGCAGGATTTACAATTTCAAGGAGATCACATAAACAAATCAGGTACTTAATTCTTGTAAAATATTATGAAGTAAAGAAAGTTGGTAACGAGTTTAATAAAAGGTCTTTAACCGATCAAACCTTCAAGTCTTTTAGCAAATAAAGAGCAGCTTGAGCCTTTGCAGCTTTCCTATGTGCATCACATCCACATCTCACCAACAGATCATCCTCAAGCTGTAGAGATAGTTCAGCAACAACCATTTCCCCTTTATTTCTATATGCCATATTGATAGGATAACCTAGAATACTGCATAACTCAAGCAGTTCACGAAGAGGGGGTAATTCAAGTTTATCAGGAGTTACAACAGGAGAAAGTAGTGGTTCAAATACACCCCAGACTTTGTCGAGATCAATATCGGTATCTATTAGTATTGCGCCTGCAATACTTTCTAATATATCACCAAGAACCTGCACAAGGAAGAACAGTCCAAGGACCATAATAGTTAGAAATAATATTACGATAGGAAATTAATGGATGGAAAGGGTGCAACATATTCCTGCTTTTATTATAAAGGAAAAAATAATCAAGCTACTTAAGTTTACAATTTATTGGCATCTTATATACTAAGAATAAAAGAGTGTTATCAAATAAATTAGAATAGAGACTTGAACAATAACACGGATCCACCTTTGGTCCTTTAGGAACATCAAGAGGTAATACATTAGCCTTGTCTTCAAATATCTTCGATATGCAACAGACATATTCTGTTATTTGCTGAGAAAGTGCGTCAGAGGCAAGTTGAAGATGACACTGTAAGTTATGCTTCACTGTAGTTTGAGCAAAATTCTCATTACTAACTGAAGCTGAGCGCAAGTCGGTTAATTCCCCTGGATCAATACCAGTATGATTCTGGAAAAGATAATACGTGATAAGAAGGTCCAATATAGAATCACCAAGAAATTCAAGCCGCTGACAAAACGCAATAAGTTAGAAATGGGAAAATTATTCTCTATCTAATAGGGTAATGATACCGGGCAACCAGTTAGCGGACAACAATTCAAGGGACCACAGATTAAAGCAATTGAATTATTGCATAAAACCTGATAGCTGTAATCAATTCTTGAGTCTTGATGAGATGGACTCGTGATGGCTTCCAGTAATAAACCTTTAACTGAGAACCTGTATTTAAGTTTAGATTCCAATATATCGATTTCATCAGTTTTTGAGTGACACCAACAAAGAGACGCATTCCTCTTAGCCTCCTGAATCAATAATGGTTCAATTGTAATGTCCATACCCAACCACCTCATCAGTGAATAAGAAGCGTTTAAACCTCCACCAATATAATATGCTCCTATCAATGCTTCGACACAGTCTGCAACAGTTTTAGAGCACATCCATCTGTGACCCTTATCGCATGCCCTTCCAAGTACAGTATTAGTGTCTTCCGTCAAATGTACCCTCTCTAAAGGCACCTCAAAAGTATCAACACCACAGCTACAAGGAAGAGGGTGCAAGGAAATTTGCCCAGGGGCAACCCAACGCCGTGGATCAAATGCACTGTCACGAATATATTCCTGTAGTGCAGAAGGTAATTATACTATTAGGAACAGAATATTAAAGTTTGTGCAGACTCTAAGAGATCCAAATGAAATAACAGCAGGGTCATGTTAATCCATCAAAATGGAGGGGCCAATGTATTATAACACCTCACAAGAAAAATATATCAAAAGTTGAAAAAAGTTTAAAGATTGACTGATAATTGATCAATAAGGCCGTATGTCTTGAGTTGTTGTAAAGAGAACTTTTCGCTAAATAGAGATCAGGAGTTGGTTCTAGAGATTGTATATAGAGGGCGAAGGATTTTCACCAGAGGCTTCTTGTGTTGGAATCCAAAGAGAAAATAAGGTGAGTACACTCTCCTGCTTTTGAATATTTTAGCAACGTCTCAGAGAACCCTACACTTACCACAAAGCATAGGAATGCTTGAACCACAAATCTAGTGCCTATCACGCTTTTATGCTGGCTGTATTTCTGATGGATTATGTATTACTTGGGCAATTTTTTACAGATTGAGATCAAACTGATATGAGCTACAATTATGTACAAGTGCTTGAAGATACCAGATGAAAGATAAAGGCGGTACTAAATATGTTAAGGACACTCTTCGATCTTGGTAGTTTTGGTGTAAAATATTACATCAAGTCAGAGCGACCATCTTCAAATTGAATATTGCATGCATCTTTATTGAATATATAAGTGCATATGCATATAAATATACATATACGAATATACATAAATAATGTACATGTGTGTATACAGGCATACTGGTAATGAGCTGCCAATTCATTGAATTCTTCATCTTTGGTTCCTTTCACCTCTTTACAGCTATCTACTCTAGTTGTTTGTTGGTGTCGAGTGTGTTTAGGAGTGAAGGGTATATCCAACCGGTTAATTTGACAGCATCAAACAGAAACTGTAACCTTTAAAAGATATTTCCTACCATCAACCTGCCAAACCAAGTTTCAGGTTGATGATTTGGCTGTTTGGATCGTATGTTACCTGCAGGACCACTACACTTTGGTTTCAATAGGTTTAAAAATGGCAATTTCAACCTTTTCACGTCAATTAATTTCGTGCTAGGGCCTCACTCTAGGTTAAACCCCTTGAATCTCGTCCTAAATAAATATTTTTTTCTCTTTAATGAGTTAAAGAGATGGCACATTTCGACACTTCATCATGAAAGAGTAGTTTGATCCATCTATGTTTGATTAATCCAAATGACTTTTGAAATAATAAAGACTAGTAGTTGTTTGGAAACAACCTAGAAGTTTCATAGGATTCTCATGAAATCCATAGTTTCTTGGTCTCAAGGTGTTTTATAGGTATATACTGAAATCTGACAGGACGAGACACAACAAGGCATGTAAATTGTGGTATAAAGTAATAAAGTAATTGAGTGAATAGCCGAAGGATAGAGAATATTGAAGAATTCTCTAATTCATAACTCTCTGCTTAAATCCATAAAATGTCAGGTGATTTAATGAAATAATAATGCAAACAAGTGCCATAACATAAATCTTGGTACCTGCAAGGAGCGACTGGTTCCCAGTTTATGCAGCATTGAGTTACAAACTGCTGAAGCTCGGTGCTCAGTTAACTGGCCTTCGTGCATTGTCGGATTTTTCAAAAATAGATGGCAACTAACAACATATTTAAGAACAGAGTCCCCAAACAGCTCCAGGCGCTCCAGGGAAAAGTTCTCACAACATCTTAAAGTCGTAATTGCTTCCAGGATCTGATAAGCAAATACTAATAATGAAATTAGAATATGGAATATAGTTTATATCATACGTAAATACTAAAAGATAAAGCATTACAAATTTGCTGAATATGGTTACTCAAGTACAAACCAATTCGCTTGATATTTGACAATTATTGTGCCCAATATATTCACATAGCTGGCAGGCCAGCATCATTGATGACAGTCGATGCATTACTGAAGGAAGTAAATAAAATGATCTCAGGACATTGGGCGATAAACTAAGATCAGCCAAGAGCTCGGGGGGAATGTGGACATGTGCTCTCTCTACCATCATGGAACCATCTGCCGAAAACATGAATATGTAAACCCCTCTTGAATAATTAACCCATTATTCTCTATCAACTTTAATTTGGTTAGTTTAATCCTAGACAGGTATACAGTAGGTATAAAAGCATCATTTAAAGAATTTGGTAAAGTTGAAGGAAAACAATTAAAAGCATAATCTAGAACAATTATTCTTGAGATCAGATAGTAACAAATATTATAATTCATATCTGTTGTTAACGATTATAATAACAAATATTATAATTAAGCACTATTCTAGAGATCAGATACTAATAGAATACCTCTGTTATCTAATACTATTATAAAAGTGGATTGGGATGTTTAAAAACATTTCTTCCCAAAATATCCCCAGCACATTCATACATACATACATTAACATACATACCTCTCATTATAAATGTGATATAGGGCACATACATACATAACACATACATACTTGATATGATACATACTATAATAAATGCAATATATACATACATGCATTTTATTAATTAGACATGATAAATTCATAAACACACATACTTACATCATACTATAATAAATGCAGCAATCAACCTTTGAATAATATGAGAGTTATGAAAAGTTTTCTCAACTAAATTCGGAATGGAATCAAAAGGTTTGCTCAGGTACATACTCAATTTGAATCACATAATTACATCTTACTATAATAAATGTAGTAATCAACCTTTGAATAATACGGGAGTTATGAAAGGTTTTCTCAACTGAATTCGGAATGGCAATCAAATGGTTTGTTCACATACATACTCAATTTGAATTTTATTAATTTCGTAGCAAAACGTCCTTCTATCTCTCATCCAATTGAAATGCTTTTCAATTAAGCCTATTTTCTCTCTTAATTATCACTAATTAAAAACTACGCACATGGCAAAATTGCAAAGCTAAACCATATTCTCCTTTATTTCATGGGTGATTGAAACGTCATGATAGATTGAAACGTTTCCAACCTCGGATCAATTCCCCCTTAATGATAACAAAGCGATATTTAAACCATTTTCTTGTCACTTAATAAAAAATTAAAATACTTGCTAATATGCTCTCAATCCATGGAGATCCGGCAAGTTGTCGAGCTTAGCCGAGCCCCACAGAGACTCTTAGGGGGAGTTTGGTTAATGTTCTTCAAAGGCTCGAGCTTCATATCGGCATGGTTAGTGTCCACGAGCAGAAGAATATTATGGATTATAAACATATCGGAGATGGATTGAAACAGAAAACTTCATGGGATTAGTTTTTAATGGATAGGTTTAATTTGCATTATAATTTTTTATTACCTGAAATCCTATGATGTTGTTAGATTATATTAGTTTTATATATAGTTCTTTTACATATGTTTTAAGTTCTTGAAGATTTATTGTAATTTAGCCTTTTGGATATATACAATGCTAGAGATCTTGATGAATATTTAGGAAAATTGAGCTTTTTTGTTGTATTAATGATATATATATATATATAATACTATTATAAAAGTATGTTGGTATGTTAAAACATTTCTTTTGAAAATACCCTCTAAAATGCATGCATTCATACATAAAACACATGCATGCATATACATAACACATACATAAATCATAAATCATACTCATTCAAATCCCTTTCATAACCCTCAATTAAATTAAATTAAATTAAATATAATAAGTACACCCTCAAATTTAGTTAAAATTAATGAAATTATAAAATATTATTTAATTGATAAAATACTCAATTATAAAGTTAATATATTAACTAATATTAGTTTACTTTTTTCAATTTGAAAAATAAATCTATACATTATTAGTATAAATGTTGTAGTATGTCATTTAACTTCTTATTTAATGGGCAGAGTTAAAAGCTCACATAACTCCAATTTAGATGTAATAACTATATTATAATAATCCATACAATATTGCCATACGCTTGAACACTTGTAGCCAATTAGTCCTCTTGGCTGTTTATCTTCCTTTTTAGCTATTCAACTCCTTCTTTATCGCTACCGTTACAAAGCAATAAATATTGGCTCATCACTTCTCCAGCCAAGTCCCACTAGATGGATATGTTCAAAAAACCAACAAAAATTGGATTTATTGAAAAAACAAAAGGGGTAAGAAAGTGATTTACACTTAGCTAAGGAAGCATTTTTTTCATCTTAAGATAATTTACTTTTTTAGAGAGAGAGAGAGAAACGATGGGATCTAAAAATTGGATATCCCATCATTTCTTTTAATATCTTTTTGTAATTATTAGTATAATTTAGAAATTATAATTTTGTAATTATGCGATTAATTTATTTGTTTATCGATAGGATAAAATTATTTTCCCCCCATTCTAGGAACAATGTGGAGAGTACAAGTCGAAGGGAAGCCTACTCTCGGGTAAGCATGTAAATTTCATTTCTTTCAATATATTTTTGTAACTATTAGTGTGATTTGAAAATTATAATTTCATAGTTATACAATTTATCTGTTTATCGATGGGATAAAATTGTTTTCTCCCCATTCTAGAACAATGTATACTTTAGACACTTTAAAATTGATGATGCTTCAAAGCAAAGTTTCATGAAGAATAAATTCAAAGAAGTTTATTTTCTTCTTTAAAATTTAGAGCAATAAGGTTCATGCACTTTTCACGGTGTCACGCTGTCTAGATAAATTGATTCTCATATGATACTATGAAGATGCCTTTATCAGATTTTCAATTCTTCATACTACTACTAATCTCATAATCTTCTATATGCAGCTTATTGTTGATGATTAAAAATTTAAGGGTAATTTTACATAACCCCTAAGAACTTTGGACCTTTTCCATATAACCCCCATTGACTTTGTTTATCTCACACAATGCACCTTGAAATTTGGGGTGTCTTACGAAACTATCCTAAACTTTAAGTTTTTCTCAGTGGACCCTCCCTACATGATTTCTTCAGAGGAAAAAACCCAAAATTGAGGAGAGGAGTTATGATGCCTATAAATGACAAATGGCAACTTTCAAAAAGAAAAAAAAAATTCTCTCAATGACATTTTAGTTATTTGAAACTTATGCTTAGTGGAGTCCAATAAGAAAATGTTAAGTTCAAGGGGGGTTTTGTGAGACTCCCCAAAATTTAGGGGGTTAAGTGGAAAAGCATCCAAAGATTAAGGGAGTTTGTGAAATTAACCCTAAAGGTTATGATGATATTGCATTGCATCCTTATGTTGATATACTTTGATATTTGTGATTGTTATTTTGAACATGGGCAAAAACAAAAAATTTATAAAATCAGCATATAAAGATATATTTTACAAAAAATCTTAAAACAGCTATGATACATAATTCATACATTAGTTGACTGACTATTGACATTGTATAGGTGCACAAAGATGAAGATAACTTAATGGAATTCAGAAAGCATGGTGTATCATAACTCAATAAATACTTGAAGCGAGATATTTTCATACTATGATTATTGTAGCAGAAAGTTGTAAAATTGAGAGTCCAACAAAGGGAGGGTTAATGGAGATTGAGAAGAAAATGAAAGAAAATGAAGACTGAACCAAAGTGTTTGAGAAATTAAATTTAATAAAATTTGGAATGCTTCTATAAGAATCAAACCAAAATGTCAGGTGCTCTAAAGTTATTGTAATTTTATTGTATTTATTTGGTGCCTACAGGATTGATGTGTTGGGGATTAAATAATTGCCAATATAGTAATCAAATCTATTTGCATTGGGTTTTCCCTTGAACTTAATGATTTTTATTTTTGTATATGCTAATTAGTGACTTTTCTGTATGCTGTTAACTTCTAAATAATGTTACTTTATATAAATAGCCTAATATTATTTTAGTTTCAATTATCCATAAAAGCTATACGCTAATGAAAATAATATTCATCAAATAACTATGTTCGTAAATAAATTAGTTTTTGTTATTATTTTTTTAAGCTATGTTACAATATCTGATGAGGAACAAACTTTACTTAATTGCTCAATGGAAAAGCTTGTGCAAACATACTACGATGAGATACTAAGTGTTACATCTAATGCATAGAAAAGAACTATGCTTTTCTGGTAAAGATGAGTGACAAGATTTAAAAAGTACTAATATGAATCAAACTATGGTCTTCCTGAATATGGTTGACTACGTACAACCACATTTGGTAATAATAACAGGCTAAAGTACTTCCTTATTTAGCTCAAAAAAAACTTTGCTCTTTCGTTAATTTATTGATTATTTCATATTAAGGGTTCCTGAATGGATCCTTCACCTCAAGTGTTGTTGGCTTTCATGTTTTGATGATATTTAACAAACAATTTACCACTAATGTTGTTTGTCTAGTATTTGTGTTTTCTTATTTATTATAGACAAACAACGTAGTTGGATGGATGGATTGCGTCATAACGATCATATCCGTTGGAGGATGGATGGAATAGAGCTTCAACGATCATATCCAAAGGAGGTTGGCGGAATATCGATGAAGCTTATACAAATTCAAGTTGAAGATCCAAGTTCAAGCTTCATCCGCAAGATTACCAAGAAGAGCTTATTGAAGATCAAGATCAAGCTTGGGTAATCTAGTTTAGATTTCATATTATGTGTGTTAGATACTCTATGCTCAATATCATATACACACACATTTATTGGTTTCTTCGTATATATATATAGTTATATATATATATATATAAGTTTTGGTTTCTATGCATATATATAGTTATATATATACATACATAGTTTTTGAGTTTTCATGTTTATAAATATGAAATCACATGTTTCATATTTATTATTGTGTTTTAGTATATATTGCATAGAATATACAATTTTCCATTTTCGTGTTTTGGACTATTTTTCAAAATGATGATTTTTCACAAATGGGAAATGCAATTTGGAAAATTCTTTTTGTAACATGTTCATTTACATGTTTATATACATTTCCCAAAGTTTCATTATTTTTGGACTTCATTTGTTATTTTTAACATATTTTCCAAAGTCTCAAAATCAGCTTTTAAAAACTGTTTTTTGTAGTATCAGATTTCGGTCGACCGCACCGGTCGACCGATCATATATTTATTTGTTCAGTGGGCAGCAGAGAGTTTGTTGGTCGACCGGTGCGGTCGACCGAGAGCTCGAAATTTCTATCGGTCGACCGAAGAAGTCTCTGCTCGATTCTCAGATTGGGATCTGGATCGCGGTCGACCGCGAACTTTTTCGGTCGACCGCCGAACTCCCAACGGTAATATTGTACAGAAATCTGCTTCCTGATTTTCTGGGATTTTTGTTGATTTGGTTTTGGATTTTAGTTGTTGTTTCTTTTCCTATATAAACTCCCAAACCCCCTTCTATTTTAGTAACCCATTAAAGAGTTTTAAAGAAGTTTTAAAGAGTTTTGAAAAGGGTTTTTAGTTGGGTTCAAAGACTGTTTTGTTTGTGAAGATTGTTTTACAAGTGGAGAAGATCATCTACAGTGTTTGAACTTTATTTTAATCCTCCTCTCCAACTTGATTTTCAGAGAAGAATTCCTAAACTCTATTTCTAGCTATTTATTATTTTATTCATAAATTTCTACATGCTAGATTTTAAATTGAGTTTAGTTTTGACTTATTGAATCTCATTGTTACACACACCCACATGAGCTTATTGTATTTACATACATAGTATATTAGGGTTGTGAGAGATTGTAACATTGAGTTGTGCTTCATTGAGTTCTCATCTATTGTAGAGAACAAATTTATATTTGTTATATTGTGAGTGTTGTAGGTTTTCGGTGAGCTAGAAAACCGAGATTGTTGTGAAGTTTTCGGTGAACTAGAAAACCGATTGTGAGGAGTGACGTTGATCGGTGAGCGTTGAAAACTGACACTGTGAGGTGTAAACGTTATTCGGGTGAGCGTAGAAAACCTGGTTGTGATAGTGGATTTCTCCCCGGGAGTGGGGAGCGGAGACGTAGGACGGAAGGTTCGAACTCCGTGATCATATTGCTTGTTTGAGTTTGTCTTTGGCATATTTGTTTTTATATTTATCTTATATCGCCAATTGTGCATTGCTCATTTATTTCATCCTCTATCTTGTTTAGATTATTTACCCTTGTGTTGTTTTTATATCCTTGCATATACATATATCATATTGTATATCTCTTTGATAGGATATATCATCTTGTGTTAGTTTATATATCCTTGCATATATATATTCATCATATAGGATATATCTCATTGTTCATATTGCTTATCCTAGCTTATATAGTTGTTATATTTCATACTTGCTAGGATAACTCATTAATTAATTTTAATTGGCATTTAATCGGATTAGATTAGCATAAGACCCTAATCACCCCCCTCTAGGGTCCAACAAGTGTCACCAACTGTAGATTCACAACAGAAGATTACCTACACTGAATTCCAAGGATAATGTGCTCAAATTGTTTAATATCTTCTCTTTTATACATTCGTAAATACTATACATTCATTCAACCGCAACCCTATATTTTTTAAGTCATCCTACAAAAATAATGAAACGCACAACATACATATAAAACTAATTACACTTACAACCTACATATACATATGAAAATGAGTACACGTGCAACGCACGTTCACCATACTAGTACATATAAACAAACCTTCGCATTTAACGGTTGATGACAGAAGATTATGAGGTTGATAGCTTTGCTTTACCAATAATAATGGCTGTCCTGGATGCTGAAGCTCAATATTATACCTGGACAAAGAATGTATACATGACTAAACCTTTTCCTGATGCACTAGGAGAGAAGAGTAATATAATAAAAATCAAAATGCAAACCTAAGAAACCCACTTCTTACTATAGTAGTCTGCAAAAGAAATAAACTCTGGCTGTCTACCCTTGTAGCGATCAAATGGACTTTCTGCAGATTTATCATGCATTACATCAAGGACAGAGTAGATCCTTCCTGTGTGAATGGCCAACACCACCATATCCTTGACAGTATTGACATTTGCAGACTTGTTGGCCATGTGAAGGGTATCTGATCCTGTATAAGTTGGCTGACATGAACTCTGGCTGCAAGTTAGTAAACACTCGGGACACGAATGTATATAATTTGTTGAATAAACAGTTCTCAAAATCTCCACCACCAAAACGCATGCATCAATTCCATTCCAATTTATGCTCAAAGAATCAAGGCTATCTGAAGATGAGGGTTCCACAGGTAATAGCAGATACATATTTGATGAACTCCATAATAACCCTTTTCTATCCCTGAGCAAAAATTCTCTCTTTGTCCCCTGCAATTTGCATCCAACAAATAACTTGCCAAACAACCCATTGAAAAGAAGTTCTTGAAACAACTTTAATTTTTCCACCTGAAAAGAACATTTGACTGTTTGATAATGGCATATAGAGAAATTTGTTTCTTCTAGACGCCAAGTTCAAGTCCAAAAATGAAAGTCACAATAGCATACCTGATTAGCATTCAAATGAACTTGCCCACCGTGGGAAACAACAGCTTTGACTACCCTGTTTTTACGTAAATAGAGATCTATTTTCTGATCTATAACATCATTGTCTAATGTTGCCTCTATCAAGAGAACAAATCCACAATAGTCTTTATCTATTTGATCGCAAACAAATTTCATTTTATAAGCATTTAGAGTGATGTCACTGGGTTCATTAGCCCAGGTCCCAGATAGTCCACGAACATGAATCGTCCCATGAAGTTCTCTCCGTTTCGTTGTTCCTGCAAATATCAAAAGGAACACTCAGCATCATTAAATAATGTTAATCACATAACATGAGGAAAGAAATCTTACGCAATTCCTGTTGAGAACGTTGAGGCTGTGTGGATAGCCTTCTCACCTACTTCTGCTACAATGTGCACCTACCCCCAAATAGTATTCACCTATCCCTTGCTACAGTGCTCACCTACCCCCAAATAGTGTTCACCTAACCCCATGAGAAAACTTATAAATACCCCCTAAGTTTGATATGTAAAGCATCTCAATAGCAGAGAGAGAAAGAGAAAGATACAGATATAAGTAATATCATTGAGAGATATTGAGAGAGAGTTTGTGAGAATTCTTGGAGAGTATCTTGATCAAGAGAGGATGTTCTCTTTTATCTTTTTCCTTTGTAACCTCGAAAAAAATATAAAGAAAGTGGGAGTCATCGTTGCACCGTGGAGTAGCTCCATAACAGTGAATCACGTTATATCTGTGAATATTGTGATTGAATTCGTGTTTGTTGGTTTTATTCTGTGATTCCAAGATCGTTTGAGTGTGTTTTGTGTCTCCGTTTGAAGCGTTCTTGTTGGTGTGTACCCTAACAAGTGGTATCAGAGCATACGGTTCGGAAAAGACGGAATCTTTCGCCATGAGATCTATAGTTGAAGACAACATGCTTCGGATTGAGAAGTTCGGAGGCTAAAATTTTAGGTATTGGATGATGCAGATAGAAGACTATTTGTACCGGAAGGATCTCTTCCTACCCTTCCAAGGAGAGACGGGGAAACCTGAAAAGATGAACGACGATAAGTGGAAGGTGCTCGATCGTAAAGCACTTGTCACCATCAGGCTCAACCTTCACCAGCATATGACTTATAACGTCTCGCATGCTATCACCACCAAAAAATTACTGGAGGCCTTAGAGGCGATGTATGAAAAGTCGTCTGCCTCAAATAAGATGTACCTGATGAAGAAGCTATTCAATCTAAAGCGTGTAGCGGACTTCTTAAACGAATTTCAGGTTTTGGTGCAACAACTTGCTGCAGTGGATCTCAAGTTCGTCAATGAGATCCAAGCTCTTCTGCTATTTTTTTGTCTACCAAATTCATGGGAGAATATGATGATGGCGGTGAGCAACGACAATGGCAATGACAAGATGAAGCTCGACACGGTGATTGGGACAATTCTGGATGAAGAATCTCGTCGTAAAGTCTCAGGAGCTGAGACCTCTAGCAGCGAAAGTACTCTGCATGTCGAGGCACGAGGACGTGCGCAGAAGGATAAGGGACGACAAGGCCGATCAAAGTCCAGAGGAAAGTCTAAAGGGCCAGACCCGAATGGTTACAGTGAGAGGAAGTGCTTCGGATATGAAAAGAATGGTCACTTTGCACGGGACTGCAGAGCTTCTGTTTCAGCATCAGTAGGGGATGATCAGACTGACGGTGCAGCCAATCTTATACACGAGACGATTTGGATGCGCTTCTCCTATCTCTTGAAGACAAGAGCGATGCGTGAGTCATTGACTCTGGCGCATCTTTCCATGCAACCTCACAACAAAAACTTATTTCATCGTTCGTGAAGAAGGACTTAGGGACAGTCTATCTTGACGACGATCAACCTTATAAGATCTCCGGGAAGCGAAATTGTACCCTCAAGATGGAGGGCGGGACCACCTTGACGCTGAACAACGTTCGGCATATACCGGATCTCAGGGGATATCTTATATCAGTCGGGCAATTGACTGACTCCGATTACAGAGTATCCTTCGAGCATGGAAGCTGGAAGGTTGTTGGCCTCTTTGTTTTGATGATGTTTAACAAATAATTTACCACTAATTTTATTTTTCTAGTGTTTGTGTTTATCTATTTATTGTAGACAAATAACAAGTTGGAGGTTGAATGGAATCAAGCATTCACGATCATATCCAATAGAGGTTGGCGGAATAGTGGAGTGAAGCCATGCAATTCAAGTTGAAGATCCAAGTTCATGCTTTATCCAAGTGTACAAGTCAATCTTATTGAAGATCAAGATTGCTTGGGTAACATTTACTTTAGGTGTTATATTATGTGTGTTAGTACTTTAAGCTCAATCATATATACACACACATTTTATTGGTTTCTTTGTATATATGTAGTTTTATATATATATATATATATACACACATACACGTTTTGGTTTTGTATGTATATAGTTATATATATGCATATATGTTTTGGTTTAATTTCATAGATATGAAACAAATATATATTCATATACATACTCATATGTTTCATATTCTATTGTATTTGTGAAAAAATTATATTCTCAGTTTTTGGACTTAACAATAATCATATACATCTTTTATATAGAAAACATATTTTTATTTCATACTTACATGCATATATATGATTTCATCAATATCAATTTTATTTAGTTCAATGAAATCATATTTATTGTTTTTGAAAAGTTTGCAAAATATATAATTTTGTGAAAATATTATATTCTTAGTTTTTGGACTTAACAATAATCATATACATCTTTATTAAGTCTACAAAATTATTTTGTAATGTTTCAAAACATGGTTAAGCTAAAATGTCAAAACTCATGTGTTTATATTTTTATGTTTTGGACTATTTTACAAAATGATGATATTTTCATTTGGAAGGTCCTTTTTGAAAACCAGTTTTTGTAACATGTTTATTATCATGTTTACAATCATTTCCTAAAGTTTTATATTTTTCTGATTTTATTTGTTATTTTTAAAAGAGGTTTGAAAATCAGATTTCTGTTTAAAATAGACAGTGTGCATGTCTTGAGTCGACTCATGAACAGTGTTGAGTCGACTCATAAACTATTATATAGTTTACATTTTATTTCTGACGAGTCGACTCATAACATCATGAGTCGACCCATCAGTTGAGTAGACTCATGCCTGTCATAAGTCGACTCATAAACTGTGCTGGAAAGTGTGTTTTGTTTCTGCTGAATCGACCCATGACTTCATGAGTCGACCCATGCATGATGAGTCGACTCATGAATTTTATAAGCCGATCCATAAGTTGATTTTTAGCCTGTAATGGCTACTTATGAGTCGACTCATGAACAGTACCGAGTCGACTCATAACACTGTAATGATTATATTTTCAGACTGTACTGTTTTTGGGTTTTTGATCTTTTTGCCTTATTTTCTATTGGCTTTGGGGTTCCTATAAATACCTCATATATCCTCAGTTCCAAATAATCTCAAGAGAATGTTTTAAGAAGGTTTAACAAGAGTTTAAAGTTTTGTTTAGTGTTTGTTTAAAAAAAATTTAAGCAATTGAGAGTTTGTTTGTGAAAACAATTTCACAAGAGCTCGAGGAAGATCATCCATCGGTGTTTGAGCATCGACTCTTCTCTCTCTCTCTTGATCTATAGAAAAGTTTTTCTTAAACTCAATTCTAGCATTTTATATGTTTGATCTTAATTTCGTAAGCTAGATTTCATATTGAGTTTAATTGTTTTATTGAATCTCTTTGTTCACACACAACCATTGAGCATATTGTATTTACATTCATAGTATAATTTAGGTTGTGGGGTTTGTGACATTGAGTTGTGCCTAATTGAGTTCTCGCCTTGTATTAGAGAACAAATCTTTTGTTGTGAGCTGTTATTGTGAGTTGCACTTTGTATTACACTTGAACACCAAGAGAAGTGGTTGGTGAGAGACGAGACTAGAGACCAACACTTGAGGTGGTAGTTAGTGTGTTTACATTGTGAGTGTTGTAGAGTTTTCGATTAGCTAGAAAATCGTATTGTGAGGTATGAACGTTTTTCGGGTAAGTGTAAAAAACCCGGTGTGTTAGTTGTGAGATTGTGAACGTTGATCGGTGAGCGTTAAAAATCGATATTGTGTGGTGTAGACATTATTCGGGTGAGCATAGAAAATCTGATTGTGATAATGGATTTCTTTTCGGGAATAGGGAGCGGAGATGTAGGACGGAAGATCCGAACTCCGTGATCATATTGTGTGTTTGTATTGTTTATTTTACCCTATCATAATTGTATTTTTAGTTTAGATTGTTTACCCTTGTGTTGTATATATATCCTTACATATATTTTACCATATAGGATATATCACTTTGTTCATATTACAAATTCTTGCTCATATCATATTGTATATATCTATCTTGTAAGAATAATATTTAAATTAGTTTTAATTGGTATAAAATCGGATTAGATTAGCATAAGACTCTAATCACCCTCTCTAGGGTCCAACAAAGGTGTCCAAAGTCTAATAATGGGAAGATCGGCCGCTTGCTTACCGCAGAACAAGCATCATAATCATCCGTCGACTGCATGACTTGACATCGACGACTTGGCCACATGAGTGAGAAGGAATGCAAATTATGACCGCGGGAAAGAGGTTTCCGGGTCTGAGCAAGATCGATCTGACTTTCTGTGAGGACTGCATCTTAGGCAAGTAAAAGAATGTGAGCTTCAACAAGACTAGGCCGGCTCCAAAAATGTTTTCATCATTTTCAAGAAGTGGCTTGCCTGTGTGGAGAACGAAACAAACAATAAGCTAAAGTGTCTAAAGTCTAATAATAGAGGCGAGTATTACAGCTAGGAGTTTGAGAACTTCTGCTCGTCTTATAGGATTAGGAGACTGAAGACCGTTCCAGGCACACCTCAACACAACGAAGTGGCGGAGAGCATGAATCGTACTATCTTGGAGCGTGCCAAAAGTATAATGATCCACTCCAGATTGCCCAAGAGTTTTTGGGCCGATGCTGTGAATACCGCTACATACTTGATCAATCGCGGGCCATCCGCGACTCTCAGTTATGGGATACCTGAAAAGGCTTGGATCGGAAAAAAGCTGAAGCTAGAACACTTACGAGTATTTGGTTGTGACGTCTATATCATAACCAATCCTGCATGCCGGTCAAAGCTTGATCCAAAGTCAAAAAGCTATCTTTCATCGGCTATGGAGGAGATGAGTATGGGTACCGTTTTTGGGATCACGAAGTGGCGGAGAGCATGAATCGCACTATCT